GCACTCGCACTGTCAATCACAGGTGCCACCTAGTCCTCCCTCCTCCCGCACACACCTCCTTCCACCCCGATCCCAGGTTCCTGCTCGCTGTGACTATCCACCTCTGTAGACTGTAAAATAGCCTGTAACACAGTCGCCAACTCCTCCTCGATAGCTTTCACTTTTGCGCATACTTGCACCTTCTCACTCGACAACTGTACTGTCAATGGGCTGGGTGATTCATGAATCACCACGTCCCCTTCCGATTCCATAGGAGGAGCCACCTCCTCCACACTCCTCTTGCGACCATGGCCTAATCCTTGCCTCCATTCTTCCTCAGGCATCGTTTTCTCATGTGCAGGTGCTCCGCCTCTTGCTGGCCCAGGAGCCCAATTCTGCTTGCCACAATCTGCCGCCATATGGTCATATTCACCACACAGTAGGCATGTACGCCTCTGCCCGGCATATGTCACCATTACCTGAGTTTTAAACTCCTCGAGATATACATACGAGGGTCATCTTGGGATTGAAAGTACCCTCAGAAAATCCTGTCTAAGGTCCTTTTACCCATTTTCCAGGTTGGGCTAGATGTACAGTCCCATATCTTTCGAAAACACTTCTGATATCTGCTTCATCAGCCTCAAAAGGCACGTTGTGGAGCTTGACCCACGAATAATGTCTTGATACATCCGTCAACCTGACCCTCACTGCCGGTGTTACGTTAATGCTGACATCTTGGTAACGATCCGCCAATGCCTCGTACACTTGAGCTGTTCGCACTTTCACGAATATTCTATAAACACCATTTAGTGCCACTCCATATAAATCCTCGTCTCTGGTGCCGTATGTCTCTCTTATAATTTTGGGCTATAACACCACGACTGACGTAGGAGTTAAAGCCTCACTAATGAGTTCAATGCCCACAGTATTCACTCTCCAGCACACACCTAGCGCCATATTGTTTTCTGAATAGCTCGCCTGGGTAAACAGTAGAGGGGTGCAAACACGACCGCACTCTACCTCATCTAGGCAGCGAATCGGTGGTTATGATTGGTGACAGCAGACACAGTTACTGGCATGTGGGTGGGGGGTTGAAGCGTCAGCGGTAGTGCATTAAATCCACCACATTGTCCTCTTCGCTCTCGGGCCGAGAGGATCTACTGCGCAGACGCTCCTCAGTTGCCTGTCAGTGGTGGTGTGAGGAGGTGGTGTTTTGCACCTCTGTTGACATCTCAGGAAAATTACTGCAGTCAACATGGTGGTTTGTCATAGATGCCGGGTTAATACTGTTGGTGTTGAGCTTCTCTGGGGGACGATTTCGCCTAGTTCAGCACAGGTTCTCTTACCTAACATCATCAGAGAGACGTATGGAATTCAAGATGGAGAATTATATGGAGTGACTTTAAATGGAGCGCACAGAATCTTCGTGAAACTGCTCACTGCAACTGTATATGAATCGTTGGTTAATCATTTCCAGGACGTGAGCATGTTTCCAGGCATTATACCTGGATTAAGTTGCATAATGTTCCCTTTCAGGCGGATGAAGCTGATATCAGAAAAGTCTTCGAGAAATATGGGACAGTTCATTTTGCCCAGCGTGGTATGTGGGTAGCAGGCACCTACTTTGGTTTGCCAGAAGGTACTTTTAACCTTAAAATAACATTGAGACATCCCATACCGTTTTACATTTATCTTCAGGAATTCAGGACACAGGTCATGGTTTTGTATCCTGGGCAAAGGCGTACGTGTCGCCTATGTGGTGAGTATGACCACATAACTGCAGCATGTGAGAAGAAAAGACACGTGCCTGAACCTGTGGTAGAAGACACAGCCCCTGTCTTATGGGTGCCTATTCAACACCTCCTCCAAAAACCCATAGAAAGGATTCTGCACACAGGCAAAGAGCAACTGAGAGAGCGGACAACCCTGCCATAAACCTCTTTCCATCAGCACCAGATCCCCCAACTCCCCATTAACCTGTACCCACACAACCGCTCCCTCATACAAATTCTGCACCAATCTCACCTCCTTCCCCAAAACCCAGCTTCTCCAAGCAGACTCTTAAGAAATCCTTATTCAAGCAATCATACACATTAGCCCAATCCAAACCAAGTATTTCTCCTCCTGAACAGTTCTCTATAAACTCCCTTATCTGACCATGACCATCCCTCATACTTCACCCCGGGATACCATACTAACCCCTATGTATCACAGATCCTCTCACCCTCTTCGGTCTATTGCCCAAAATTTTAGCAAAAATTTTATAGTCCGAACATATTAATGTCAATGGTCGATAATCACCCAATACTTTCCCATCCTTCTTTTTCGGCACCAAAACAACGATCCCATTTTTTTGTGACTTCCCCATCCTCCCACTTTTCAACATATAATTCACAACCTCCACCAAACAATGCCTAATACTCTCCCAATCGTTTGATAACCCATCTATGCCGTGTGCCTTACCCTTAACCCGTAACCTACCTCCTCCACCTCCACTTCACTAATTCTACCTTCCAGCATTTCTCTTTCCTGCTGTCCTAATACAATATTTCCGCAAATGTCCTCAAAATATTCCTCCCCAACGTCTCCTTCTCTTCTCCATTTCTCCCTAAACCAATAATCTGCATAACCTCTGATACTGTCCGTATCAGAAAGGTCCTGTCCCTCCACATAACTGCCCCATCCCCTCACCAACCACTAGATGCACTACGGTAGTCATCTGCATCAAACTGTTCATTATGAATCTCAACAATCTGACTCCTTAGATCGTCCATATCACATGTCATACCTTCCCTGCCCCCCCTGTAACAATCATTCAATTGTCCCTCTAGGTAGTTGTGCAAACCATACCGCCACCATGCCTGTTCCTTGCCACGTACCTTAAAAACTTCGCAATCCCTATCTTCGCCCTCATCTCCCATCAATCAAGCAAATTCATCTCCCCATCCCTAGTATCCCAAACCACCTTCCACCCTCCTGTAAGAGCCACACATTCAATTTCCAATACCCTGCATATATACACACTATACCATCCACCCTTAGTTCAGCTATCACCGCCTTGTGGTCCGAAAATCCCATGTCAAAAATCCTTACCCTCTCCACAACTATCCCCTGCATGGCATAAATCCGATCTAACGGCGCCTCATAACCCCTACGAACGAACGTGTGCTCTACTCCATACCACCCCTTCCCGCCACATCTACAACCCCCCACGTTCCTTAACACATCCCTCAAAGCACCTAACACACATCCTGCCCCCTTCGGTATCACATCCCCATGCCTAATCACACAATTCCAGTCGCCCCTACTGTAATAAAAGGCAAACCCTGCAAATAGTACATCAACACATCATGGACAAAATCAACTTTCACCTTCACATTGTTGGTTGCCGGCATATGAACACCCACGAAGCATACCCTCTCCTCCTCCCAATACCCATCCACCCTAACGACCCTCCCACCTCACCCCTTCTCCCAACCCATGACGCTTGGCTGGACTCCTTTACCGCCACAGCCACCCCTCCTTTCAATTGCAATGCCATACTGACAAACATCTTATAACCCCTCAAATGCAGTTCACATCCTAACCTATAATTATCCTCCTGTGAAAAACATTCTTCTACATCAAACCTTCTTAAGAACCATTCAAATCAAGCCCTTTTTATCTCAGCTTTAAGTCCATTAACATTTAAAGTTACACACATGAATTTTCCAGGAAAGGTGGCTTGTCCCATGCAGCTGTGGCTTACTCAATCCTCCTTTCATGTTATCCATACTCTCCTTTCCATACTTCCTAACCTGTCCTCGAACCACTCCTTGCCCTCCCCAACCAGACTTCCCCGGTGCCCCCCTCTCTGCTCACTTTCTCCACCACAGCCGCCCATGCCTTCTTCCCAGACCTCTGCCCAGATGTCAGGACCTTGTCCAATTCAGACGTACTCGCAGGCCATTTGTGTGAGCTACCACTCACACACATATCCACATCATTCGAGTCCTCCTGATAGACCTCCACCACCACTACCCTCTCCTTAGCCTCCTTGCGCAAGGCCTCTACCTGCCCCTGCTGCCCATCCAGCTGTTGCACTTCACTAAACTTCCTAGCTCCTTCCTCACTGGCCACCGTCTCTTCCAAAAATTCCTGCAGCACAGCTTCCAACAGCTTCTCCTGTGTAGACACTTCCACTTCCTCTATTCCCTCAGGCCTCGATGAGCTCTCACTCACCTCCTCTGGGAGGGTGACACACGTCCCCAACACCTCCTCCACTCTCTCCACCTCCTCACTTCATAGATCCATCCTCCAACCATTCGAAACACCCATCTCCATTCCCACTGTACTCGGTTGCTGATCTACCTTCATTGATGTCATTACCAGTGGGGCTTGCCTTCATATACACTGCACCGCCATATGCTCGTATGAGTCACATAAGTGACACGTTCTCCTCTACCCTACCTAGTGGACGAAAACCTGGGTCATGCATCCTGTCAACGTAACATACGACAGGATTGGCCACTTCAATGTCGTCTTAAGACGGCCCTTACCATAACATTCAAGATGCATTCAAGAGAAATTTTTTTAAAAACATTCCTGAGATATATATATGTGAACAAGTGATGGAGGGGAAGTACAAGATGAACACCAATAATGGAGGTACAGGGATAATACGAGCCACTGAGTTTGTATATATTTCTCTAAATAATAGTAACTGATAGAAATATTATTGGGAAATTCTACACAACAAGTTAAGTGAAGAGGAAATACATTTGGAAGGATCTAAAGATATAAGGAAATGGAAATAATGATGGTATGAAAGGAAAACATAATGAGGTACAGAATGGACCCCATGTTGACTACCACATACACTCTCCAATAATGTCCGCCTCCCAGTGTGTATTAAACCTCACACAACAAGTAAGGCTGATAGAGGTTAGCCAATTTTCTATTTAATCTGCCTGTGGAAGGTATTGGGACATATCACCAATGTAATAGAATGTAAAGTAGACAAAGTAAAATACTTCAATAAGTCAAGTCTATTTAAATTTTATTTAAGTAAATAGCCCCCTAAATAGTTTTACTGGCCTAAATTTTCATAATATACATGATTTGGGGAAAAATACATGAAAAATACTAGTTTAAGCCGTCAGACATATTAATAAGAATGGTGGCTAACAGAGGTTTAGCGGATGGAACACATTTTAAAAGTGGTTGAAAAAAATACAAAAGTAGATGCATAATAAAATATAATAGTAAGTTATTACAGGCAATATTCTGCCACAAACATTGTCACTCAAGTACCAATGATTCATAACCTTATTTAAAACACTTAATTTATCCCATGATGATTCTGCATCATTATAATCTTTATCATTTTCATCTGGAGAATCTCTGTTGACAGGAGCAGCATCAAATTTTTGTCCACATATTAAATGAGAAGATGTTAATATGTCCATCATAGTAAAGGATTCAGTGGTCTGGTTCAAGTCACTTCCATTATTTACCACAGTGTAATGACATCCTACATCAAGGTTGTTGCAGCTATACAAAGCAATATGTTATTCAACACTATTGAAAAATTAAAATAATCTTAATGAACCAAACTCTTTTGCAGATAAAAACAAACATAATTTTTCTAAGCATAGGTTGTGTTCCTCATAAGCAATTGGTAACAATCAGCAATATTTGAAAAGCAGTATTTGCAGGTGTCACATTTATATGATAAACATCTATAATTTCTTCAGAGCGGCAATACATGATTAGTTAGTATGGGCTGATTCCTGATTATAATTTGGATGACAGTATTGTCTCAGGTCCCAGACGTTTAGTAAAAAATTTGAATAGCATGTAATTCATGAGAGAGAGGTCGAAGATGCCGTTCTCCAGGGTGTTTATGTTTATTGTTTTACGATTCTCGAACCCCAGACGAAAACATATCCTCTCACTGATAAGGTTGCCAGTTCCTCCACAGGCCAGTGTGAAGCCTTGCTTGGTGCCAAGATGTAGACATAGCTGAAATAGGTGAGAAAATATGAGATGAAGACCCAATGAAAAGGGAAGTAATAACACTAATACATTGGAACCTCAGCTTACGAGTGCCCCACTATGCGAGTTTCGAGCAGTCGCTCAGTCGATTTTTTTGTTTCTGGATATGAGCAAAAATTTAGGATGTAAGCTTCTCCCTCAGACAACTATTTGTTTTAAACCTCCAGATCTTGCAAAAATAAAAGTGAATACAGCCTCTCCTCACTTAACGATGGAGATAGGATTTAGGGAAATGCTACAAGCTAAGTCAAAGAGTAAATAATGGACTGTAATGGGGCTTATCTTGAAAGACAGCTCTCGCCTACACAGCCGTCCCTGTAGGTGTTTATATTGCCACTCTAGGTGATGTCTTGAGAAGCTGCCATATGCCTTCCCTAAGGGCTACATGAAAAAAAAATGTTTTATAAGTATAATTACCTCTACGGGGTGTTGTCAGTGTATCTCAGAAACTGATTGCTAATAAGAATATATACTTTTGTTGGGCTAAATTGCCCACCTATAACCAAGTGTATGATACATCTAGAAAGAAATGAACCAGATATCTACTGTGAAGCTGACGTAGCTAGCCTCATTAATTACTAGACCTACCTGGGTGTCTGTATCGGACCAATATGTGACTCGGATATCGCTGTCCTGATTGAAGCAGATGTATTCTTTCAAGAATGTCGCACTACACTCCATCAGGATCACAACACTCATTGTTACACACTGTTCATCAAATATTGTTTATCATTCAGTCTTATCACTATAGAAGCTGATCAAACTTCTCTGTAAGTGCTTTGCTGTGTTCTTTGATATTCTTTTATGCACACAAATGTGCAGATCAGTATTCTTTATTCATTATCCCGGCATCAATGTGTCCATTTGCAGGGTCAAAACAATCTAAGCTAAGACACCCCTCGCTTGCCCCTAGCTACAAAGGAAAAGCTGACATAGCATATTTCCCTTGCTTGCCAAACTTCCACCAGGAAGCAAAGCAAAATGCTTGATTTCTTGATATGTCTCAATTACTTTAGAGTTCATTATGTCCCATATGTGAATAAAGTGAGGTAGAAGTTTCCCTGTACCCTTCCTGTTGTGGCACAGAGATTATTTACACTTGTTACCTCAAAGTGGTTTCAACACTGGTCTCTTGCAAAGGAGCCACATGACCTGTGACTGGTTCACATCTACTTGATGTGGAAGTAAACAAGGTGCTTCTTTTGAGAAGGCTGGGCCCCTCAGGGCTGAAAAGGGCTGAAGGGGGTTGATACCCCTCTCCTGACGAAAATTTCTCCCCAATAGTGACCTAAGACTCCGTTAGTGAACGAATTCGTTGTTAAACGAGGAGCATAGTCTAATGGTAGTGGATTTGTGTCAACCATCCTTGATATTGCTTTAATGTCACTTTTATTCCATTTATAACATTTCTGGAATATTTTTAAATGTTTATACAGCAGTGTACTGTATTCTATAATAAACAGAATTGAGGAAATCAGCTCTAATATACATTTTATAGGAAAAATTTATTGGTCAGAGAGCCCATCGTAAGTCTGAGGCATCGATAAACGAGTATGTCGCTAAGTGAGGAGAGGCTGTATAATTGTAGTTCATGGTCGTGATGAATTATGTTGTTTTTACTTCTTAAGACTATAACTACAACAGAAATAATTATATTTCTTACCTTAAATTGTGGGTGCTGGTGTTTGTGGATGATTGTAAAGAGAGTGGAAAGTTATGCTGTGGTCCTACTGGGCTGGGGTGGATAATAGAGGTACTCAAGTCGATGGTTGTACTGGAGTGTGCATAAATTCTTTAATGGATTTCTGTTCTGTTTTACCCTGCAGTACATTATTCAACTGACGGTAAGGTATCAGCTGCTCTAGACACCGTTTCAGGGTCCTCTTCAGTGCAAAAGTCTAACTTTAATTCATTCAGTAAATCAGCCAAGTCATTCAGTCAATCAGTCAAGTTAGTACATAAAGTCAGTCAAGTCAGTAAGCCAGTTAAGTCTGTAAGTCAGTCAAGTCAGTAACTCAGTCAAGTCAGTAAGTCATTCAGTTAAGTCAGTCAGTAAGGCAGCAAAGTCTGTAAGTCATTCAAGTCAGTAAGTCATTCAGTCAAGTCAGTAAGTCATCCAGTCAAGTTAGTCAGTTACATCAGACACTCAAGTAAGTAAGTCAGTGAGTTAAGTCAGTAAGACAGCCAAGTCTGTAGGTCAGTCAAGTCAGTGAGTCGTTCAGTCAAGTCAGTAAGTCTGTCAGTTAAGTCAGTCAGTAAGACAGCCAAATCTGTAAGTCAGTCAAGTCAGTAAGTAATTCAGTTAAGTCAGTCAATCAAGTCAGTAAGTCATTCAGTCAAGTCAGTTAAGTCAGACACTCACATCAGTAAGTCAGTAAGACAGACAAGTCTGTAAGTCAGTCAAATCAGTAAGTCATTCTGTCGAGTCAATAAGTCAAGTCAGTAAGTTAGTCAGTTAATCAGTCAAGTCAGCCAAGCCAATAAGTCAGCCAGTCAAGTCAGTAAGTCCTTCAGTCAAGTAAGCAAGTAAGTCAAGTCAGTAAGTCAGTCATATCAGTAAGTCAGTCAGGCCAGTCAGTGAAGTCGGTAAGTCAGTCATTTAATTCAGTAAGTCAAATTCAAATTCAAATTCAAAGTTTATTCTCTATAAGGATTACAATGCTGAGTTTACAGAATTTGGTTATTGTGTGGTTTACATGTAGTAAAATAATAATTACAGAGTGTACCACAAGAACACCTAGCATGGCTAGGCATTTCGGGCAGACTTAGATTAAATCTTAAGTTTAAAAATATTACAAAATTATGAGGTAAGTTGGTATTATGGCTAAGTGACTAAATACTTGTTTGTGAGTTTAGCAATGTGAATGCTTTTGTTTTGGCACTATACATAGTTTCAGTATTGGAGTATCACAGGCCAACTTTTGACTAGTTAAGATTCATTATTTTGAGATTGAGATTGATATTTCTGTTTATGGTCAAATGGGTGAGTGAGTGTAAGTGTTAACCACCAGGTGGTATTCGTGTAATTAGTTGACTGGGTGTATCAGGTTGATAAGATGTTTTCTGAAGGTAGTTTTGAAGGTGATGAATGTGTCTGCAGTTTAATAATTTTCAGGTAGGGTGTTCCAGATTTTAGGGCCTTTGACATACATTGAATTTTTGTAAAGGTTTAGTCGGACACGGGGAATGTCATAGAGATGTTTGTGTCTGGTGTTGTGCCTGTGGGTTCTGTCGCAACTATCAAGAAAGCATTTTAGGTCAAGGTTAATATTGGAATTTAAGGTCCTGTAGATGTAGATTGCACAGTAGTAAGTGTGGATGTACTGAACAGGGAGTAAGTTCAGATCTATGAAGAGTGGGGGGGGGTGTTGCCAGGGATGGAATTTAGTGATTATTCTTACTGCGGCTTTTTGTTGGGTTATTATTGGCTTTAGGTGTGTTGCTGCAGTTGAACCCCAAGCACAGATAGCATAGGTGAGGTATGGATATATAAGTGAATGGTATAGTGAGAGAAGGGCAGTTTGGAGCACGTAGTATCGTATCTTGGAGAGGATCCCAACCGTTTTGGACACTTTTTTGGTTATGTGTTGGATATGGGTGCTGAAATTCAGGTTGTTGTCGAGGTATAGGCCTAGGAATTTGCCCTCATTATGCCTGGCAATTAGAGTGTTTTCGATCTTAATGTTAATTTGCACATCTCCTGCTCTGCTACCAAACATAATGTAGTAGGTTTTGTCAGTGTTAAGCGTAAGTTTATTGGCTGTCATCCAAGTCGATATTTTGATCAGCTCTCATTAATAATGGTGTTGAGGGTGGCAAGATTAGGGTGAGAGATGAAATATGCAAGTGCATGGCCTCTTATACCATAATGGTCAAGTTTGTGGAGTAGGATGCCGTGGTCTACTGTGTCAAAAGCTTTTCTTAGGTCAATAAAAATTCCTAATGGATATTTCTTATTTTCCAATGCTGTGTTAAGCAGATCTAGCATTTTTATGATTGTGTCGTTAGTGCTTTTATTTTTCCTGAATCCAAATTGGCAGGGGTTGAGTATGTTTTGTACCATTATAAATGAATATAGTCTCCTGTGCATGAGTTTCTCAAAGATTTTGGATAGCAATGGTAAGTTTGATATTGGCCTATAGTTTTTTAAATATGTAGGGTCACCACCTTTATGTATTGGTGTAACCCTTGCAGTCTTGAGTAGTTTCGGGAAGGTGCTAGTTTCTAGTGACTTGTTAAAAAGTAATGAGATAGCATGCAAGAGGACGGGGGCTGCTCTCTTCTACAATAATGGTGGGACATGAGACAGATTCCCTGAGTTATTTTTAAGTGACTTTATAATCTCGGTGACTTCCATGGGCTCAGTTGGAGAAAGACAGAAGGAATTTGGGAAATTCCCATCTAGGTAGTCCCCGGCATGGGCATTGGTGCGTGGGATTTTATTGGCAAGATTAGAACCTATAGTTGAGAAGAAGTCGTTTATCTTGTTAGCTGTGTCAGTGGGATGCAGTGGTGTTTCATTAGGTTTAGTTAGGGCAATATTCTTGTTTTTTTTTTCAGTTTGTGGGTCCCTGGAATCTGAGAGAGTGTTTTCCAGGTCTTTTTTATATCTCCTCTTGTGTCAATGAATCTACTGGAGTAGTATAGTTGTTTGACTTTCTTTATTACTTTGGTGAGGACTGATGAATAGTGTTTAAGAATATCTTTGTGTATTAAGCCCTGTCTATATTGTTTTTCATATTGGTGTTTCTTATCAATGGATTTCAGAATGGTGCTGGTTAGCCATGGGCAACCAAGTCGTTTGTTTGTGATCTGTTTCGTTTTATAGGACAATGTTTGTTGTGTAGTCTAAGTAATTTGTTAAGAAAAATGTCTGTCCAGTCATCAATACTATTGGCATTGGAGAATTCTGTAGGCCAGTCAACAGTCTCTAGGTCAGCTGTGAACTTCCTTATTGAGGCCTCATC